GGTGGGTAGAGAGATGGATGGATGAATGGAGGGATGGAGGGATGGATGAAAGATGAATGGGTGGATGATGAATGAGTGGGTGGATGGATGGATGGATGAGAAAGGGTGGTCAAGGGACAAGTCTGTCAAGATTCCCCTGTCACACCATTTCTAGCACACAGCTGAAAAGAACACATGCCCCTTTCTGTTTTTCCAACCCCTACTTAACAGGACTTCATAACAATGTAAGTGATTCCCATGCTAGTCTCCTCTGATAGAACAGACTTAATGCCAATCAAAGGACTGAAGTTTAAGGTATATTATGGACCACTTTAGAGATAAATGAATATACATAAAGAAAGCCATGCCATACAGAATATGGATGGGTTCCTTCAAAGCACATCCATTTCTGGGAATGGGTCAAGGGCTGATACAATTGACCAGCTTTATGATTAAGTAGAGACTCTGCCCTTGCTTTGCCTCTTCTCAGGACACAGCCTCTGGAATAGAACCTTTGAAGAACACCCTCCCTTCGATGTACCAGATGCCAATGGTGACTTCCTTCCCCTTGCCCTTGGGGGCTTCTACATGTTTCTCACAATGATCATCCTGCTCCAGGTAGGAAACCGTCGCTAACCATGGGCCTAAGAAGACCTGTGACCTATATATCTACAATTTTCAAAATAAGAAAAAATTAACACTGGCCTCTAAAAAAGAACTAGCTGGACTGAGATGGGGAAATGTTTAATGCTTTCTTGTAGATCTTTGAAAGTATTCACATCTGGGGTAATGTCAGAACCAGCCCTGCCTTGTGGATCCCCCCACCCCCCCAAATACTAGCTGGAGGAAAATATCTATCAGTCTTTTCTATTTAAGAGTAAGATTACAACAGTAACTCATTTGTGCCTGTGCCTCTGTCAGGTGCAGAACAGGTAAAACAGTAATGACCAGGGAATAAAAGAAGATAAAGTAGCACAGAGAGCTACAAAGAGCTCTCAAGCCCCAAGTACTGAGAGAAAGAGATCACAGATTAGTGTTTTAGCATTGATAGATTGAGGAGGAAAAGAACAGAACTGACCCTATAATAGGAGGAAAAAACATATAGACCACATAGAAGATGTGAAGCAGTAAGGGATAAAGAAATGAAAAAAATAATCTTTATGCTCTCTAAGAAGTTACAATTTATGAAAAGATAAGGTTAGTTTTTGTTTTGTTTTAATAAAGAATCATATACATCAGATTTCTTGTAGCATTTGAGGGTGTTTCATTGTCCTCTTATTGGTGAACCATTTTCAATCATTAATTACTTGGTTATTCGTTTATTTATTGAATTCATTCATTCATTCATTTACAGAGTAATACTTTTAAAATGTGAGTCAGATCCTATCCCTCCTCTGCACTAAAAAAAAAAACCAAACCCATTGCCACTGAGTTGATTCACACTCATGGTGACCCCATGTGTTACAGAGTAGAACTGTTCCATAGGGTTTTCTTGGCTATAATCTTTAAGGAAACAGGTCACCAGGCCTTTCTGGGTGATTTCTAACTGCCAACCTTTAGGTTAGTAGTCATGGTTTCACTACTTTTCAAAGTGAAATCCAAAGTCCTTACATGACCAACAAGGTCCTAATTGGTCTGGACCTTACTCCTTCCCTGACCCTGCCTCCTACCCCTCTCTTCCTTACTCAAGTACTTCCAACTATAAGGTCTGCTTACTATTACTCCTGAAACACCCAGAACACTGCCACTGCCCAACCTTGGCCCTGGCTCTTCCTTCTGCCTAGGATGCTCCTCCCACTAATATCCTCATGACTCATGCCCTCGTTTCTTCCAGGTCTGGTATATAGAATAGCCCCTCCCAACCGTCACGGTCTACCCTCTTTACTTTTCTTTATTCTTCTTCACAAGTCTTGTCCCCACCTGATATATATTTATTTGTTTACTGCCTATATCCTCCCACTGGAACATGATGTCATCAAGGCTGGGGATCTTGCTCTGTTCACTACTATTTCTAGGACTTAGAATAGCATCAGCACATAGCCAGCACTCGGTAAATATCATGTGTTGAATCAGTGACCAGTAATCAACAATGGGTCTGAATGCCTGTAAAAGTGGGTGGCAGCCCTCAGTGGCAGAGAGATCCAGGGGGTAGGGCACCCTGGACAGAGGCGCTGACCCTCCCTCACTCCACCAGCTCAGGCATTAAACAAAGGAATGGTGAGGGCCTACTTCCTACCTGACAGTTTGACTCCCTGGTTGAAGAAGTCATACCTCTTTTTCAGATTCCCCTAAGAATGCCAGTAAGTTTACAAGGGAGATATAAAGTCACTGACTAATTTCTCTGAGAAAGCCCACCAAGCTTTCCACTAACTATCCACTATTAGGGTTCTGAGACAGGGAGCCCAGCCTGGTTTCTGACATGGTGGGAATTGGTCTCCTCTCAGGTGCTGATCCCCATCTCTCTGTACGTGTCCATTGAGCTGGTGAAACTGGGGCAAGTCTTCTTCCTGCACAACGACCTTGACCTGTATGATGAAGAGACCGATGTGCCCATTCAGTGTCGAGCCCTCAATATCACTGAGGACCTGGGCCAGATCCAGTACATCTTCTCTGACAAGACAGGGACCTTGACTGAGAACAAGATGGTGTTCCGGCGTTGCACCATCATGGGTAGCGAGTTTTCTCACCAAGAAAACGGTAGGCGGGGCTTCCAAGGGTCTCCAACCCTCTTTTTAAAAGGAAACATTCTGCTCTCCTCAGAGTATAGGGGATAAGAGATATTGGCTTCCCACAGATGCTCTGGCATTTTGACAAGTTGCTTACTGCCTCCACGTGCTTTTTTTTCACACCTCAGGATTGTTCTTATTACCTCTAACCTTTCATTTATTTACAACGGCTCTAAGTGATCACATACATGGTACCCCTCCAGCTGATCTTTTTCTGATGTGATTTACACACAGGATTTTTTTTTTTTTTAATCTATCAGGAACGGATTGGGGACATGCCCCAACTGCATCCCAGTCATACAGCCAAGGCTTAAGAATTTCTCAAGTCACCGTAGCTGAGATGTCTGGACAAGCTAAGGTCTGGGCTCATGGTTAGATTTGACACACCCAGGAAGTGCCTTCTGTGCTAACTGATCTCTTGGATTTTCACTGAGGCAAAGCTGCACCTTAACAGATATGGCTGTAAAATGGTAAAATGCCTGGACTGTCATTTGCATAGACTGAAGATGGCCTATAAAATAGACCTGGTTCCTTCATTCATCCCTCATGAACACATATAAACACACACACACTTTCTAATTAAGACAGGAAACTCTCAAAGGAGCAGCATTCATTCTTTTGGGTGGGAGAGTGGAAAAAGAGAAAGAAGGAGATATTACAGGCAGCCCTATCCCCTTTGCCATGGTGGTAGTTAACCATTTACTTGGGAGTTTCTCTTTTTAAAAATAGTAAGAGAATTAGTAATACTCTTATTATTTTTTAAAAAGTGTGCTAACCACTTTAACGCGTTATATCATTAAGTCTTCAAAACAACTCTTTTATTTAAGTATTTTTTAAAAACCCCTAATAGAGAAATAGAGGCACAAGTAAGTCAAAGGTCAAAGCCACATAACTAGTAGGTAGTAGAGCCGGGATGTGAACCTATGTGTGTTAGTTCCACCCCTCTTTCTCCAGTCAGGGTAGCCCAGTTGTCAGTCTTCCAGAGCAGTGCAGGTCCTTCCTGTGCTCTTACTTCAATCCACAAAGCCTGGGATCTCCCCAGTCGCGACTCAGCCAAGGCATGACTGGAGCAATGATGAGATTCCTTTCTTGCAGCCAAGCGACTGGAGACCCCAAAGGAGCTGGACTCAGACAGCGAAGGGTGGACCCAGTACCAGTGCCTGCCCTTCCCGTCCAGATGGGCCCAGGGCTCAGCAACTGTGAGAGGCCAAGGAGGTGCCCAGCCTCTGAGGAGGTGCCACAGTGTCCAGGTGCCCATCCAGCGCCATTCCCGACAAAGGTCCGTGAAGCACTATGAAAACTCACAGCCTCCGGTGGCCTTCAGCAGCCCCATAGTAAGTCCCTGCTTTTCCCTTTTGAATTGTGTGTATCCCATAGTGGGAGAGCTAGGAGAAGGTTCTGGGGTGAGGAAGTGAAAAGACCATAAAAACCTTGAAGAGCTCTCAAAATGGCAGCCCTTGGTCCCATATGTGTTTTGTTGGATGCATAAAATTCTTTTTCATTTGAAATGTGTGTTCTTGTTTATAAATTGGGAGCTTTCATATAAAAATATAGATTTCTGGCATTTTTTTAAAAGCAGAATTAGAAAATTTCTCCACACTAAGCCAGAATTTCTTCATGTCAATAATTGGCCTGAGTTAAGGAGTCGATGCCACTTAGACTGGATATGTAAACTTCAGTCCTCCCATCCCTACTTATCCCCATCACTGAGATGAGTGCCACCGTATTTATTGTTATGCATGTTTTTCCAATAATACAGTTAAGAAACAAAAAACCAGTTGCTATTGAGTTGACCCTGACTCAAAAGAGAAATATTTGCCATACCCATGTTTCTATCAAAGTGGGAAAACAAAAAGATAAGTCTGTAAAGCTTACATGTTTCAAGGGAAAAAAAGGGGGGGAGAATACACTTTTTGCGGTAATAAACAATAGTCTTAAATGATTATTAAGTGAAGAATATCCATGTCAAAGCTTTCCACCCACTGTGTTCCCTTAGGTTATCTGCCCGGCCCCTAAAGCATTCAAGTTTGCAGGTTTTGATCCCTTCACCTATGATTCCTCATGACAGCCATCACTAAACTTCCAGGTAGCAGGTGAAGAGATTCAGCTCCTTCCTCAGGATTCTACAGCATTCCCCACAAGTCAGGGCCAGAACCAGTGTCTTCTGACTCCTGTTTCCATCTTCTTTACTCTGCACCACGCTGTTTCTCCAGGGAACATGGAAACACATCATCTGGGATCTTCTGTACTTACATGAGAAGCACAGAGAGCCCCAACTATCTTGAACACGAGACACATACTAACAGAAGGGACCTACCTGCTATCATCCCATTATTAGAAAATCGAATTTTGGAAAATGATCTTTTTGGGGAATTTCTTTCTAGTTTTTATATCCCTCATTAATACATGCACACACACACATCATTGCGTATATTTAACGCTTTTGCAATCATAGTACCTAAGTGCAGGGTTTTTTTTGCTTTTAATTTAAGATGAGATCGAAAGCATTTTTCCATGTTACTACCTGGTATTCATAACTCAGGACTGGGTTTTCTGACTGTGACAAAGGGGAAAAGCCATGAGTCAGGTGTCCTAGGTTGTTATTTATCTAACTTTGGGTGAGTAAAAAGTTGAGTTACCTGTCGTGTGTTAGTATTATACACAGAAATACAGCATTACGAAAATAATAATAACCAGACCCATTGCCACTGAGTTGATTCTGACTCATAGTGATCCTATAGGACAGAGTAGAACTGCTCCGTAGGGTTTCCAAAGAGCGGCTGGTGAATTTGAACTGCCAACCTTTTGGTTAGCAGCCGTAGCGCACCATAGCTCTTCACCACTGCACCACCAGGGCTCCGTTAGCAAAGATAAAATACAGTAACAGTGTATTAAAACATATGACTCCCATGAACATATGAGAGAAGATGTTTGTTTGCTTGTTGGTTTTATTTTCACATGTAAGACAGCAACAGGACATGCATGTTGTCAAGTCTTTCTCTAATTTAATTCTGTCCCATCTGAATGGAATGCTTTTCCTCTGACACTTTACCAAAACATTTGTAAAGTGAGTTTAATGAATTCCTGGCATAGATTCTGAGTCTCGCAGTCCCTGTGCCTTTTGACACCTCCCAGTTCTATGAACCACCAGCATCCCATGTGCCTGGCCAGAAAACCAAAAAAACCAAACCCGTTACCACTGAGTCTATTCCAACTCGTGGCTACCCCATGTGTTACAGAGTAGAACTGCTCCTTTGGGTTGTTTTTTGTTTTTGTTTAATCTGTTATCTTTACAGTTAAGCACTGAACTAGTAGCCCAGAGGCTCCTTGAAAGACAGGCCTGGTGATCTGCTTCCAAAAGGCCACAGCCTTGAAAACTCTATGGAGCAGTTCTACTCTGCACATATGGGGTCACCACGAGTTGGAATAGACTCGACGGCAACTAACAACAACAACAACAAAATCTTTATGGAAGCAGATCGCCCAGGCCGACTGAGATCCTTTGGTGAATCTCATTTGGGACACACAGATATGCTGCTCCTTGTTTAGCCTGACAAATCTCAGTAGCCCAGAAAAACTGCAGCCTTGCACCAGCCAGTATAACTTTCATGTGGGGCCTCTAGCTGATGGTCAGTGAGAGGGACACATTAACCCCCGAGCTGCCTCTAGATCCTGGATGTCGTCCTTCTACCCGGGCCGGCAGTTTTAAAGACAAGTTCTAACTAAGTTCACTCAGGAGCAATAAGGAAATTGGCATGTAGATGAAGACCCAACTCTTATTGCCTGAGTAGGTAAGGATGGTGATGTTCATTTCTTTATGAGCTGCTAAATACGTGGTTCTGCAGTTGGGTTGCTTGAAAACCTGGGGTTGGTAGGACAATAGTGTTCCTGGGTAGTTGTTTCGGAGGGCGCTGGGCTAAGAGTTAGGAAATATAGGTTCTTAGTTTTAGCTCTTCTACTGGGGTCATTATAGGGTCACTGTGAGTCAGAATCAACTCCACGGCAATGGCTTTTTTTTTTTTTTTTTCTCACAGTGGCTTGCTGGGTTGGAATGGACTCGACAGCAATGGGACTGGCTTGCTGAGTAACCTTAATTAAGCTCAGGGCTTCGCACCAGTTTATTCCAGTTCGAAGCCCTGCTGAGGATTTGCATTTCCACCCCAGATATACTGAATCAGAATTCACATTTTAGATTCTGCTTAAGCACCATGTAAAGCCTCTTTCTAGCCCTTCCATCCCGTGTAAATATTTTGCTTACCACTCCCACTAGGTTGTTCTAAAAATCAAATAATGTAATGATTATACTGACCTGCAAGGTCCCTTCAAGGTACGAAGTCGGCACATTTGGGGTCAAAGGCCCTGTGTTTTAACCTCAGCTACACCGTTTATTCATTTATTAGCCCCTGTGACTTTGGTCAAATTACTGAACTGGAAGCCTCAATTTTGCCATCTTTAAAATGAGGATTGTTGTTCTGCCTCATGAGTTTATTTTAAGGATTTAATCTTAAAATCATGTATTCTAGACAAAGGGATAACTAATAGACATTTACATGACGTTTCTAAAGGAAAGTTGTCTGCCTTGGACAAATGACATCAAGAAGTGAGTGGTTTTTATTTCTCTGAGCCAGTGGTTCTCTACCCTGGTTATATATTAAATCACCTGGGGAGTTTCATAATATACAATGCCTGCGCCCTATCTGCCTAGAATCTGGCATATTTGGTCTAGGATAAGGCCTGAGCATTTGCATTTTTTATTTCTGATGATTCTAGTGAGCAGCAAGATTTGAGAACTTCTCTAAGGAGACCAGGAATTAGCCCTCCTCATTGGGCTCAAATAAGTACCTTCCACAGCTGGAGAGGTGTTTGCTGAAGAGCATGATATATTCTGCCTTAAAGGGCTCAACCAGTTGCTAACAAGCCAATTCTGACTCATGGCAATGCCACGTGTGTCAGAGTAGAACTGTGTTCCATAGGGTTTTTAATGGCTGATATTTCAGAAGTAGATCACCAGGGTTTTCTTTCACGCGGATCTGCGTGAACATGAACTTCCAACCTTTCAGTAAGCAGTAAAATATCTGTGGCTGGAGTAGCAGATCCGTGAATTAAGTGCTCTGGTGGCAGCCCCAGGCTAGTCTCTTAGTATCTCACCTCCACCCATTCTCAGAAGGCTCTGAGCTTGCTTCACCTTCTACTTGCCTGCTGCATCTCCCTCCACCTGCCCACCTAGCACCTTATCTTATCTGCTAATCTCCTGGCACCCAACAGTTCTTTGCCTTCTCTTTGTAAACTCAGTCAGAACCTCCCTCTTGAAACCCCCAGGTGCCAGGCCACAGCAGAGCATTCCACCACATTCTAAAGAAGCGAGTGGTTGGTTTCCTTGGCCCTTCCCTGTAAACCAAAAATAAAGCAAAACTCGACAACAAAAAAAAAAGCTGGGTATTTTTTCGTTGTGGTAATGGTTTTGTTTGTTTTGTTTTTTTACTACAAAGAATAAGGAAGCATCAGTTATTGGTTCCTAATTGCCTGCTATAAAATTTATGGCTTTAGGGCAGGGGTAATACACTTAAGAAAGTGGTGAGTTCTGAGCCAATGCTTACAGTACTCGCAGAAGGAAAATGAAATGCTTTTTTTTTTTTTTCCTTGTCTGTAAGCGGCAAAGATTTGAGCAGAGTCTTTGTTTAGAAGTGCCACCTTGCAAAGTGCTTCCGGTAAACATCAGGCCAAAGAATATCTTTCTAGCCATAAAATTTGCATTTGGGAGGGTGGACTCCTCCAAAATTCACCACCACTTCCTTCTGTGGGCATGCCCCGTCCCACCTCTCTGGAGAGAATGCAATAGAGAAAACTAAATTTAAAAAAAAACCCGTTGCCATCTAGTCGTTTCCAACTCATAGCCACCCTATTGGACAGAGTAGAACTGCCCTATAGAGTTTCCAAGGAGTGGCTGGTGGATTCAAACTGCTGACCTTTTGGTTAGCAGCCATAGCTTTTAATCACTACACCATCAAGATCCCAGAGAAAAGTAAAGGAGGTTTTATTGGCATCTCTGCCTTAATGTCTTTCTGTCTTTTTTCTTCCTTCTCTCTCTTCCTCCTCTCCCTCCCTTTCATCCTTCTTTTTTTTCTCTTTCTTTCATTAGCCAAGTACACAAAAGGGCAGCCATGTAGCACAGAACCTCGCTACTCAGACCAGCAGCATCAGCACTAGCTGGGAGTTTGTTAGAAGTGCAGATGCTCAGGCCCCATTCCAGACCTGCTGAATCAGAATCTGCATTTTAACAAAATCCCCAGGTGGGTGATTTGTGTGTACATTAATGTTTAGGAAATGCTGATATCATGTTTACGAGTCCAGGCTTTGGCATCAGACAGAACTGAGTTCAAGTCACAGCTATTCTATTAACTTCATGAACTTGGACAAGTTGTTTAACTTTAATAAGCCACATTTTCCTATAATTAAAATGGGAGAATAATAGTAACTATCTTCATATTGTTAAGATGATTAAATGATGTACGTGAAAGCACCTAGCAAAGTGCCTGACTTTGCTGTGTTGTTGTTAGCTGCCATTGAGTCAACTCCAACTTATGGCAACTTTATATTTAACAGAATGAAATGTTTCCCAGTCCTTCATCATCCTCACAATTGCCAACATGTTTGAGTCCATCATTGCAGCTATTGTGTCTTTCTATCTCTCTGAGGGTCTCCCACATCCTTGTTGGCCCTCTGCTTCCCCAGACATGATGTTCTTTTCCAGCGATTGATCCCTCCTGATGACATGTCCAAAGCAAGTGAGTCAGACAATGTTCTGTTGTGATCTATAAGGTTTTCATTGGCTGATTTTCAGAAGTAGATCACCGGGCCTTTCTTCCTCATCTGTCAACAAATGTTTTTGAGCACCTGCAATAGGCCAGGCACTGGAGACATGTCAGTAGACAAATGGCTCTGCCTTGTGGTATTTAATAGGCTAGAGGGTAAATGGGCATTGAGTAAATGACTGGTTAAATCATCTTAACTGTGCTACAGTTTGATAATCCATAATGAGGGGGCTTGCATAGCTTGGAGCAAGGCAATACTTGTCGTAGATTGGACTCAGGTGACAGCTGTTCTAGTTCTGTCTCTAATTCACTGTGTGGCCTTGAACAGTTCACTTCCCTCCCCTCTGGCACTTAGTTTCATTATCAGGAAAATAGGGGCTTTGGCTTCAATGGCCTCTGAGCTTGTTCCCAGCTCTGGGTATCTGTGGTAAGTGTTAAAGGTATCCCATTCATGTACTCAGCAAAATGAAATCTGTTTGCTAAGAAAGGAAGATTCCCATGATCCCCTTTAGAATCCCATGGACTGTCTGCTAAGCCCTAAGGATTATATATGCAAGCTCATCAGTGTACTTGGGATACCAGACATGACAGAGGCTGGCTGTTCGCACGTCTCAAAGGCCACTTCTTTCTCATGGGGGATCCTGCCCATCACAGAGCATGAATTCTGGAGTCAAACTATCTGTAATCAGCTGAAAGAATCTCTCCCACTTACTGTGTGACCTTGGGCAAGACATTTAACTTCCCTGAGCTTCCTCATCTGAAGTACAGAGATGACTGGGAGGATAATAGTTTCAGACACGCAGTGTTGCTCTATGTAGGGACGAAATGAGATAATGGATGTAGCTGGCATGTAAGAAGCACTAAGTGAATAGGAGCTATTGTTGATATTGGGAGAAATGGACTCAGAGTTCCTTGAGTGGTATTGGTAAACTGATGATAGGCACTGTCATATGACATCAACTGATGGACCGTGCAATCTGGCTAAAGGGATTTTCAGGGGAGCAGTAATAAAGGGACATTGCTGCGTGACAGTGGCCACAGAAAGGAAAAACTCTAGACTAGCAGTCAAGGGTCTGAATTCTGATTCTGGAGACATTTGTCAAGTCAGCTCACCTCTCTGGGTCTCAATTAAGTTGAGACTGGTCAATCTGTTGTCAGAACCAGACGAGGTCACATAAATGACATTGCTTGGAAAGGTAGGAAGAGCTTCATGAATGTAAACTCCTGTTATGAGGACTGCATTCAAAGGCAGACAGGAGGGAAGTTGTCTGCTCCCTTCCCAAATTTTCTGAAAATTGTCACACCACATCGTATGCATGGTTCACCACTACTTACGGGGCAGTGAAGAGAAATGTAGACTTGACACAGTTTTACCAGCACTTTTCCTTTTAATAAATAGATTTTTCTAGAAGTTGTCTTCTTAAGATAGTATGAACAAGATGAGGGTGTGACTTGGACTCTCGGAGAGCAACCTAAATGAATGTTGGAATTCTCTGAAGATTGCGCTGCATCACATCAGCCGTCCCTTTTTCCTATAACCTCCCTACATTACTGAAAAATGCAATTCTCATAACTCTAGGCAATCAGACCAAAACCAAACCACACCTGTTGCTTTCAAGTTGGTTCTAACTCATGCTGACTCCATGTGACAGAGTAGAACTGCTCCATAGGGTTTTCTTGGCTGCAATCTTTATGGAAGCAGATTGCCAGGCCTTTTTTTGATGGCATCACTGGGTGGGTTCGAACCGCCAATCTTTATGTTAATAGTCCAGTGCAGACCATTTACCCCACCCAGAGACCTTCCAGGAAACCAGAGACTCTAGACATGTCTGGGTTTCCTCCCCTTTGGCTCTCACCTGTGGCAGCAGCCCCAGAGAAGACAGAATATGACTTCTGGAGTCATTGGATTTGGTAGTCAGAGAAGATACAGTCTGAGGACTTCTTTCGTGTAGGATTTTTTTTTTGTAATCTTGACTGGGATTCTTGTTTGTAAAGATGCTAGCTCATTGGACCTCAGCCTTCAACCCGCATGAATCATTCAAAATTCCCTCAGTCCATCTTTTTCTATCATTGGCGTTCTTTCTTCTAAACTTTAATTCGACTATGAACTCTGAACACTAAGAGAAATGGTGGAAGCCTCTTTGTGTGACAGCTTTTGTCATATCCAACTCTTGGCAGCCAGTGTTGCATTTGTGCTACCAACAAAGCTGTAGTTGGAGTTGTAGAAGATACAACCTCATAGAAAACCTAGTCTCTATCTTTAATGCACTTACTTTATCTCCAGAGAAATGAAACATGCACATAAGAAAAGTGAATTTAGAATATAGGTCAATATGTAGTGAGTTCCAAAAGAGTAGCACAAAAGGTAACTTCTATAAAGATGGAGAAAATTGGAGACCCATGGGCAGGGGCAGATGACCCAGTAAGCAAGGCAACATAGGCTTACTTGTGATTACTTACTAATCTGTAGTGACTAATTTCACATGGGAATACCCATGTGCTTAGTAAGTAAGCTTACTTGTAAGCGCATGCTTATCTCATGTGGTGAAACCCATGTGAAATTGGTTTACAGATTAGTAAGTAAGCATAAGTAAGCCTGTGCTTACCTTGCTTACTGGGTAATCCATCCCTGTCAGGGACTGTAAGTTTGAAAAGAGGCTTTGATTCAGTAAGAAAGTGCTGTGGGGTTGGGAGAGAGACAGATGCCAGCCAGGAAGCAGGAAAAATGTGAAATTGTTCACTATAGGTGATCTGGTAAGAAGGTAAGCACTGTGCTTACCTTGCCTACTGGATAATTTGTCCCTGCCCATGGGTCAGATCCAGCCCACAGAAGTGTATTCTAGAAACTAGGAGATCTTGCCACGTCTCTGCTTTATAGCCAATGTGGGAGATTTGGCAAACTAGGCCAGCACTGGGACATTTCACTGGGCAAAGCAGTTGCTGCCTGTTAGATAGGGTAGGACTTGCCAGGTCTCCACAGTCCCCACCACTCCTATAATGTCTTCATCTGTACCTTGGCCCATTCACCTTACCTGCCTGACTCCTGTGGACATTTTGAGTTCAAGACCCTGCTAATGTGGCTCAGAAGAAAGAGAAGTCAGGGTGGGCTGGATAAGGTCTCATGGAGAGATGGAGCTTTTCATGGTTATGAAGTCTAGGTAGGACGTCAGCAGACAGGAAAGGACTTCTCAAACAAAGTGTGATCAGAGACAATGAAGGCGAGTGTATGTCCAGGAGACAGCGAACAGACCACTCAGCTGAGCTGGGGGTCCATGCTGAGAAGTGGGGGGTTGAGAAAAAAGGAAATGCAAATCGTGGAAGAATATAGATGTCAGACTTGGGAGTTTGTAATTGATCATGCTAACAATGGAAATTTCCTGAAGGTTTTTTGAGACCAACAGTAGCATGAGGAAAATGATGTTTTAGGAAGAATGGGCTGGTAGTGCTACATTGGAAGGTTAGAAAGAAAAGAGGTGAGAGACAGCAACATCAGGATAGAGGCTAATGCAGAAATCCAGGATTGAGGGCAAGCAGGTCTGAACTCGGCTGGAAGCAGCAGAAATGGGGAACGAATGGTGGAGAGACACTGAGAGGAAGAACCACCAGGCCCTGGTAACTGGTGGACTTGTGGAGTTGAGGGAGAGGGGGAAATCAAATAAGAATCTGAAATCCCAGGCCTGCAGGAGGGGAAGACGTGTTCGGTGCAAAACTGCAGGGAAGACTGTATCCTTTCCCTAGCTATGCAAGGAACCTGCTGGAGAGGGCCTGTCTTCCCAATGTCTTTAGGGAAAGCCCTTACCCAGACCTTTCTCTCTCAGGAAAAAGATGTGGCCCCAGACAAAAGCCTACTGACTAAGGTGCGGAATGCTGCCCTGTGGCTGGAGACCTTGTCAGACACCAAGCCTGCCAAACCTTTCCTCTCCACCACTTCCTCCATTGCTGATTTCTTCCTGGCCCTTACCATCTGCAACTCCGTCATGGTCTCCACAACCACTGAGCCCAGGCAGAGGGTAAGGATTGGTGATGGGAGGGGTGGAGAAGAAGGGAGAAAGAGGGAGGCATAGGGGTGAGGGGAGAAGCCCTGAACAGGGAGACAAGACAACTAGGTCCTAGCCAGTGTCAGCATTTCATCACTGGGAAATCTTGAACAAGTCTCTGATCCTTTCTGGACCTCAGTTTCCTCATTTTTAAATAAAATGGATAAAATTATATATGATATCTCTGTGTAGCTTTCAAATTTGTGTCAAAGGTGTCAGCAGAGTTAATATTTCCTGGACACTTTCTCTATGCCAGGCATCATGCCAAACACTTTACCTGCATAATTGTTTAATCTTCACAACCCAACAACCCTATGAGGCATGTCCTTGGATTTAACAAGTGAATAAACTGTGGCTTAGAGAGCAGAAGTAACTTACCAAAGGGTATGCGGTTAGTACATGGGGAACCCTCTGTATTACTCAATAATGGCTCATAATAATGTTATGCACACTGGTCTCTGCTTTTATATGTTGTTGTTAGCAGCCATTGAGTCAGTCCCCAACTCATGGCAACCCCACCAACAATGGAACGAAACACTGCATGGTCCTGCACCATCCCCATGATCTTTTGCAGGTCAGACCACTGTGATCCATAAAGGTTTTCACTGGCTGATTTTCAGAAGTAAATCACCAGGCCTTTCTTCCTAGTCCATCTTAGTCTGGAAGCTCCGCTGAAACCTGTTCAGCCTCACAGCAACACACAAGCTCCATTGACTGACAGGTGATTGCTGTGTTCTATGAGATGCAGTGTCTGGGAATCAAACCTGGGTCTCCAGCATGGAAGACAAGAATTCTACCACTGAACCACCAATGTCCTCATCTGCTTTTTTTTAATATATTTTATTTTTATTGTTGTTGAGAATATACACAGCAGAACATACACCAATTCAACAATTTCTACATGTACAGTTCAGTGACACCTGTCTGCTTTTATATAGGGGCTAAAAAATAACACCATTTGTGATGTTCTGCTAATAGAGCTAGTGTAGCATTTTGAATTATTTTTTAGTACTGAAGGTAGATTTGTTAATTATCTACACACTCTCACCCAAGCTCCCTTGTGAGTCATTGATGAGAATTGGTGGTACAACCTGTGACTATGAAACCAAGAAAAGCAGGTTCACCCCAGCACCAAATCAGAAACACCTCTTAGTAAGCCCAGATTCCAACCTACCCTGGAACTTTTCAGCCACTGAAAAGTTGCCATGTTATCAAAAGTCTTTAGGAAGCGTTGGGAGCCAGGAAGCATTATCTGAGAAATTAACTGTATTTTTGAAACAGGAAAAAGAACCATTTGGGGAGGAACAGTATCCAGCTCTCAATCTTCAAGTTAATGAGAGGTGGGGGGCTTTAGCCGGCAGACAGGTCAGTGTTAAAAGAGCCCGATCTCTGGAGTCCAGCAGACTAGATTTGAGTTCCAGCTCCACTACTTACACATTCTGTGATAGTGACCAATTTACTTAACCTCTTTGTGCATCAGTTTCCTCGTCTAGGAATTGGGATAATCTAAGAGTAGCCCGTAGAGTTGCTGGGAGAATAAAATGAGACACTGCACACAAAAATAAAGCAGACAAGACTATGGCCTAGGTTTGGGTAATGTGAGTTCTTACTACGCATTTGGCATTTGGCTCCTTTTTTTTTTTTTTTTCCTTTATCCATGATCAGACTGGGATGGTCAAAAGATGGAGAAAATGAGCATTGACAACCCCTGAAGATAAGGGCTAGAAGGAAACATCTGGCCTAACCCCCTTATTTTACAGATGGGTAAACTGAGGTCCACTGAAGGGAGGAGACTTACCAGCAATCACAGAAATCACAGATTTCACCATTTCTTGCAAAATGACCGTCATCTTCTGCCATAAGAGAGCTTAATATTTTTTCCAACACTAATAGTAACATTCTACTTTTCTTCCTTGACTCAAGGTCACCATCCCATCCTCGACCAACACTCTGGGGATGTCCCTGGAGAAGATTCATCAACTCTTCCAGAGGTTGAAGCTGTCAAGCCTCAGCCAGTCGTTCTCATCCACGGCACCCTCTGACACAGATCTAGGGGAGAGTTTGGGGACCAACATACCCACCACAGACTCAGATGAGAGAGACGATGCATCTGTGTGCAGTGGATGCTCCTCCACCGACGGTGGCTACAGGAGCAGCACGTGGGAACAGGGTGACATCCTGGGGTCTGGGGAGGGGCCTCCGCTGGAGGAGGTGCTGGAGGCCCCGACCCTGGGCCTGGGCAGTCCTGAGCTCTGTTATGAGGCCGAGAGCCCTGATGAGGCGGCCCTAGTGCATGCCGCCCATGCCTACAGCTTCACGCTGGTGTCCCGCACACCTGAGCAGGTGACCGTGCGCCTACCCCAGGGCACCTGCCTCACCTTCGACCTCCTCTGTACCCTGGGCTTTGACTCTGTCAGGAAGAGGATGTCCGTGGTTGTGAGGCACCCACTGACCGGCGAGATCATAGTCTACACCAAGGGCGCTGACTCAGTTATCATGGACCTGCTGGAAGACCCAGCCTGTGGTAAGTCCCAGCTCACAATGAGGCTGCAAGAACAGAGGGCTCATAGTTTAAACAGAAGTGTGGAATGGTAATTAAGAGCTCAGATTATAGTGTCACCTAGTCAGCAGGCCCACAAGATGCCCTCCTCAAAGCAGGTTCCATACTCAAATGAGCATACTACATTCCACATCTCCTCACCTTGGAGAACCCCAGTACACACTAGCATATTAAATGCTCTGGGAGGTTTCCAAACAGAGAAACCTATTTATTCACCCTAGTTTCTGGTTTTCCAAATTCACTGACTGTATTTTTACAAGTAACACGCCTACACATATAACGTACATAGCATGCCTAGGAAAATAATGCGTGAGGGGGAAATGCAGTTGGCCAAAAACATATAACACTCACATTATTTGTGTAAAACTACAGTAAACATAGGTTATCCATCTCCACACACTTTTTTGTGGCAGGACATTCATTACAATACTGTAGGTGCACCTTGGGTTGTACAAATGGTTAACATACTTGGATACTAACCAAAAGGCTGGAGGTTTGAGTTCACCTAGAGATGCCTCAGAAGAAAGGCCTGGTGGTCTACTTCCAAAAAATCATCCAATGAAAACCCTTTAGAGCACAGTTCTACTCTGACACACATGGGGTCACCATGAGTCAGAATCGATTCCACACAACTTTTTTTTTTTTTTTTTTTTTTTGAGAACACACTGTGGTCCTAACTCCTTTTCCAGGGGAGAGAAGCCAGCTGGGACCCAGAGAAGGTAGTAACTTAAGATAGCTTACACAGCTAACTGGTGGTAGATCCCGGGTCCAGGTATTCTGAATTCCAATTCAGAGCCTTGCCATGCTGCCAGAATTCTAAGCCAGGCTCAGTTCACTCTGGGAAGCCTCAGATGTCCCTCTTATCATCCTTTTCCCCAGCCTCCCCAAAATGGATTTTCATAAACTTGCACTGAGCCAGAAAAATGTTCCAAAGTTCCTACATATCAGTATCCAATTTTGGAGCATCATGAATTAGTGTGCAGCCATTTTCTGATTGCTAACAAGGAGATGACAGTTATGGAGCTATGATTCTCCCAGGATAGTAGATTCTAGCCAAACTTTAGAATTGCCCAGGCAGCCCTGTGCCTCCTGCATTATCAGCTGTGGATCAGGGCCAAGCAGTTCATGGGGATTGATTTGTGTTCAGAATGGGAAGGGAGCTAATTAGGCCTCTTCATCCCCAGACTCTGGCAGACGAGTGAATTCAGTGCTTCTGAGTCAAGGGAGCCATGGCGCTCTCTCCCTGGGCAGCAGCCATCCAAGCTGTCCTGGAGATGTCTATTTGTTCCTCACCAGGTTCCAAACTGGAGTAGAGATACTTCCAGTAAAAGAAACATATCTAATGTTATTATAAGAATTAAGAACCAAGCTTTGAAAACGAGAGAAAAATAATGCCAGGCTTAATATATTTACTGGGTTTGAACATTCAACTTGACTCTGAGGTTCCTGGCAGCCCGAGCAAAAAGGTAAACTTAAATGCTCGTGAGTAGAATACGAGGGGTTTAATCTCAAGAACTGGTGGCTGTTGGGAATAAAATATGGAAAATAGTGCTTAATATGCCAGCAAAATAGGAGGTACCAGCAAAATAGGAGCACCTGAAAAATAAGAAAACAATCTTTCAAAGAATTTTTATTCTGTATAAAAACAGCCTTAGAGTAGTATGATGGGGAAACTCAGAGCTTTGTTGGACTTCCTTATACTTACTGGATTCATTTCCTAAGGCTGCTGTAACAAAGTGCCACAAACTGGGTGGCTAATAAGGACAGAGATTTATTGTGTCACAGTTCTGGAGGCTAGGAGTTCAAAATCAGGACTTCAACCATGTTGATCCTTCTCAGGGCTCTGAGGAAGAATCCATTCCATGCCTCTCTTCTAGCTTCTGGTGATGGCCAGCAATCGTGAGCGTTCCTTCTCACTCTGATTTCTGCCTCTGACTTCATATGGCTGTCTTACCTCTGTGTCTGTGTCTCTTCTCCTCTTTTATATAAAGACACCAGTCATATTGGATTAGGACCCACCATACTCCAGTATTACCTCATGTTAATTTGACTGACAACATCTGCAAAGACCCTATATCCAAACAACGTCACAGGTACAAGGGGTGAGGACTTCAACATATCTTTTTGGGAGACAGAAGTCAATCCATAACACTTATTTTATTGTTAAGGATTGCATTTTAGATTTTGCATTACATGGAGGAACGGGTGAAGTACACAAAATCTGTTCACTGCTTAAGGCCCAAAAGACCTCATTCCATCCCTGCTTGAGAAGGATTTTAAATTATTTTCAAGTTCAGCTTTACAAAGTGCTGTGATTGCTTAATGATGTCTGTGATATAGGTGAGAGAAGCAATGAGTGGCATCAGTCTTGCTCCATACCAGCCAATCAAGCTTAAAATTCTTATTACTTGATACATAGAAGTACTGGAATTTCAAGAGAAACAGACAATTTTTTCTAAAAGAAACATATTATGTAGGACTTCATAAAGGGGACTTTGAACAACATAATAAAGTATTTTTCACACTAGATTTAAGGAAATGCAAAAAAAAATTTTTTTTCTCCTGAGGCTATTTCTTGTATAGAAAGAAAACCTAACTCAGCAAACCCAATGCGGTAAAGAACTTAGCTAGTAAGATCCAAGTCTGTAGCTATTTGGGGACCTAACTTGGTACAAGGACTGAGGTAGATGACGACAGAGAGGAGACGATGGATAGCATTTCCAAGACTTAGGGAACAGTTTCCTGTTGGCCCTCCAGGGCTAAGCTGGCTGCATAGAAAGCACCTAGACAATTTAATAAAGATTCGGACTTCAGGCCCTGCCCTGGGAGGTTCAGATCCAGCAGGGCTGGAATTGGACCTGGTAATCTCTGCTATTGAAGTTTCCCAGGTGATTCTGATGAAAGCAGGTTTTTGGGAACACCACCTTAGACCACCTACCTTCCTTAAATAGGACTTTTCTCAGCCAGGTTTTTGATAATAGGATATAGCGAGCAGTCAACTTAAGGCCTTCTGGGTTTCTCCTGGGCTCCTCCTGGACTCCTCCTCCCCTTCCAGGGCATCCTCACAGCCAGGGAAGCTTTTTTGTGTCTCTGGGGTGGGTTGTATGGGAATTCCTTCTCCCTGAAAGTATTTGCAGTCATCTGAGGAGATTCCAGGGTGTTGAAGACAGGAATCCCCAAGCACTTCTATGTGACCTCATGGGGGACAATGACTATTTGACAGTGACTGACAGTAATGTGGAAAAGAAGCTGAGGAAAATCCAAGCCAGGACCCAGAAGCATCTAGATTTGTACGCAAGAGACGGCCTGCGCACACTGTGCATCGCCAAGAAGGTAAGAACAGGTTTCTCCAAGAATGCTTTGAATATCATTAAATGACTGAGAGTAGGCATCCCTGCTTCTGCCCTTTCTTTTTCTATTTTTTTTTCTCCGAAAGACCTTTGATGTTTGTTATAATATTTTCAAGATTAGCTATTCTGAGTTACCACCCAGATCCATGCCCTCAGTAATTGTGCTGAGGCAGAAATCTGAATGGTAAGGTTGCATTTCAATGGAGTTATCTGTCATTTCCTGCTTCTTACTGTATATGTAATAGGTAACCCATAACTCATAAAATGTCTTTTTTAATGTTACATTTTTGCCTTCATAGTATCCTTTTAAAAATTACATTATTTGCCGAGATTTAAAAATTGAGGGGCTTTTATGTGATCGCATAAAAATCCAGATTTCTTGTTTCTCTTGGAAATTTGGAGGATCTGGCAAACTGGGCCTCTATTCTCAAGTAGCAACAATCAGCTTGAGCCGTGTAGCAGCTGATCCCTAATGAGGAATATGTTTTGTTGTGTTCTGCAGTTAGCCACAGTCTCTACCACTCCCTATCATATTGCCCTGCTATAATCATTTAGATTGCCCGTCTTACGCCCTGCATGCCTTTGACTTTGCAGCCCTTGCAAGGCAGGCATGCAAAGAGGGCTATGAATCACAGAGCAGGGGCATCTAATGAAGTGCCTAAAATCTGGTAGAGGATCTAAGATGGACATACATTTCTAGATAGCTAGAAGTGGTTTCTCCTTCATAAATCCTCAGGGCTCTTCATCTCTTGTATGGTACTTAGTGCAGTCTAGAATTTAAAGTTTACAGCCAGACCTACCTGGTTATAAACCCAAGTCTCACCACTAATCAGATGTGTGACCTTGGGCAAGTTTTTTCATCTCTCTGAGATTTAGATTTTCTTATCTAAAGAACAATGTTAGTGCTCCCTACCTCATATAGTTGTCATGGAGATTAAGTGAGGTAACATGTACAGTGCCTGGCACAGTGATGAGTGGTCCCTACTCTATAAATTACCACTTTCAATGTCCCATTGCAGTTATTTGTACACATTTCACCTCCCCTGATAGACTGTGAATTCTTCAATGGCAAAGCCTACTTATGTCCCCCTGGCTGTTCCCTATAATGCTACACACAGAGGGACACTCAACAAATATTTGATGTCTAGACCAAAGGATCATTCTTGCTATGAGAGATGGTTAAGCATATGATGCCATCAGAGGGGTCTAAAGGTACTGTGAGACTCCAAGGGAGGAAGATATGGCCTCTTGTTGGGTTCTTCCAGTTATTGGGCACCTCCACCTGCATGACACCATGCCCAGTGGAGTGGTCTACCAGACTATGCAAGATCTGGCTGCTGCCTACCTTTCCAGCCTCATTGCCAGCCTCTCTACTCCTTACTCTCTATCCTTCAGCCTACTGGTATGTTCAAGGAACAAAGGGAAAGCCAAGTTCATGGCTGCTTCACCGCCTTTGCACTTGCTTTTCCTTCTGTCCATAGAAGGGACCTGAGCATCCAAATGAAAGTATCCCTCCCACAGCTATCCCTCCACCCTGTCACACTTTCATATCACCCTTTTTATTTACTTGATAGGACTCCTATTCTTTTATTTAGTTGGATAATGTCTCTCGCCCTCCACCAGGATATAAGCCCAGGCATGCAGGGACCCTGCCTGTCTTGATCACTGCTGCATCTCCAGTGCCCAGACCATGGTAGGGGACTCAACAGATGTCTTGTGATAATGGAACACAAAGATCAATCCTTCACTGAGTCATGCATTCTAAAAGAAAAAGCATTGAGGAGAAAGCCCATCTAATTGTGTAGTGAAGCTCAAACAGGCCCGTAGGAGGCCCAGAAGAGGAGGGCAGGAGGGACGGATTCTGCCTCCAGACGCACCCAGGGTTTTGATTGAGCCTTTTGCTGTCCGTAGGTGGTAAGCGAAGAGGACTTCCAGCGGTGGGCCAGTTTGCGGCGTCAGGCGGAGGCAGCCCTCGATAACCGAGAGGAGCTTCTAATGGAGACGGCTCAGCATCTGGAAAATCGACTCACCTTGCTTGGTAGCTAAAAATAAGTCATCATTAAATAAAAAAGTGAATGCTGCAAGTTGGAAAGGGAGTTCTTGACCCCGATTCTGACACAGCTGGGAATGTGTCTCAATTAGAAGGCTTCCCAGGGGTGCCCTTCCAGGTATTTGGCACAAAATGGGTGCTCCAAACCCAACACAGACTTCACACACAGCTCCCCAAGGGTGCCCCGGGAACATTCCAGCACACCCTGCTGGCAGATGCCAATGATGTTGGCTCCTTCTCCAACTACAGCACACGCCTTCATTCATTTAAATGTTTGCGGAGCACCTACTGTGTGCCAAGTAGCACGCTAGATATTGAGGCTACAACAGAGAACAAGAGCCCCTTCCATCCCAGAGCCTAGAGTTCAGTGACATAACTAGATGATTAAACAAGGGATTTGAACAGAGGGTGATAGGGGTAGGCTGAAAGGTGTACCAGATGGGGTGGGAGCACAAAGTAGGAGGCACCAGCCTTGCCCGGCCTGGGGAGACCTAGGAAGGTCAGGAACTGAAAGGGAAAGAAGGAGAGTGTTCCAGGCAGAGGGGAGGGCACAAGCAAAGGACTGGAGGTGAGCAAGCATGGGCCAGCTGGACGCTCAAAGAGATCTGCTGTGGCTGGACCAGAGTGTGGGGTCATGATGGGAGGTGACAGAGGTCAGCAGGGCTCAGATTAGGAAGGACCAGGTAAATCATATGCTAAGCGTCTGAAGAGGAAAAGAGCATGAAAGCAGGGACAGATCTGTGCTTTACAAAAATTACTCTGGCTGCTGCTGTGTAGAAGTTAGATTGGTGATAAAAAGGGAACATGAGAAGCACAGAGCCCACCAGTTAAGAGACATGGTTGTATTTCTGTTGGAGGAAAAGGATTGCCAAGTGGAAAGAGGGAGGCTTTATTTGTCAGGATTAATCTCCTCACACCTCAGGAACAAGATCTAGGTAAGGCAAGGCCCAAATAGCATGCAGTGGCCATTTGGCAAAAGGCCTTCTTTCATGTCAGAAGGCAATGCTGAGCTGGGGATGAGGGGCAAGTCCTGGCCCTGTCGTGACCTGGCTGGGAGTCCAGGGATACATCCCTGTACCCCTCTGAGCCTTAGTTTATCCTCTGGATAAATTACACTCCTCTAAGCTGACCAGGGAGCCCTGGTGGTGCAGTGATTAAGAGCTCTGCTGCTAACCAAAAGATGGGCAGTTCGAATCCACCAGCCACTCCTTGGAAACCCTATGGGGCAGTTCTACTCTGTCCTACAGGGTCGCTATGAGTCAGAATTGACAATGACAATGGGTTTGGTTTTTGGTTAAGCTGAACAGGCAGTAGTGCAAGGCAAAAGACCCAAGGATGCTGTAAAAATGATGGTGGTGCCTTTACATACTAAAAGGAAGCAACGAGATTTAGTAGTGTAAGTGGCAACCTGTTGGTGTTGTTAGCTGTTGGCCCCAACTCAAAACGACCCCGTGCACAACAGAATGAAATACTGCCTGGTCCTGCACTATTCCCCTGATCGGTTGTGGATCAGACAATGTTGTGATCAATCAGATTTTCATTGGCTGATTTCAGAAGTAGATTTCCAGGCCTTTCTTCCTAGTTCATCTTAGACTGGAAGCTCTGCTGAAACCTGATCAGCCTCATAGCAACACACAAGTTTCCGCTGACAGACAGGTGGTAGCTGTGCATGAGGTGTATTGGCTGGGAATCGAACCTGGGGCTCCCTCGTAGAAGGCAAGAATTCTATCACTGAACCACCAGTGCTTCATAGGTGGCAAGCTGGGGTAGAAAAGTTTGCTCCCCACCGCGTTTGGTCTTTTGTTTCCTGTGTTTTGGCTGCTGAGGCCTTTGCTTGCTGCCTCATAAAGCCCCCTTTAAAGATAACCACAAGAACTTATTTTAACGAGGACCAGAGGTGGCTAGACCAGACTATTCTATCCACCACAGGAGGCCCGGGCACGTCGTTCCGTTAGCGGTGCCTGGCCCTCCTCTGCCCTCATGGAGGAGGCTTTTGTTCTGCACAGACCCTGGTCTCAGTCAGTGAGAAGTGTTCATCAGCTCATTGTGCATGAAAGAGAACGAACGTGTCAAAACCTGCAGGCTTCCCCTCTCTGGGAATGGCTTTCACAACCTTCCAGTTTCATTTTCTCTTTCACACAAATAAATGTGTTTTTCTTCTTCTCTTCTTCACTCTGCCTCACTTTAATATAAATCAGCTTCAGAATCTCACCTTCCAGGCTAACCCTTGGAGGGAAAGATGATGATGGAGCCATCACTTTTCATGGGGCTGTTTACCTGCACGTTTGGACCTGAATGACAAAACAGGGAGATTTTCAGAAGAGAGAGGTTATTTTTCTTTCCTCAATGCAGCTTGGTAAGGAGAGGCCTGGGGCTGGGAAGAAATTTCATCTTGCCACTAAGAAACTGCCATACCATTTAAAAAAAGCTGCATTGTATTCACATGAAGCCCCTTACTATGAAATTTTTTTTAATATGCATCACGCGTAACTGCTTTGCCAACCTATTGTCACTCTGGATTATAAAAAGAAATGAAATGCCTTGCTCCTTCCCAGAGTGAAATAAGTAGACATTAGTCTGTGATCTGAAATGAATCTCAATTTAAATAGTTTTATTTTTTCTTATTCATTTAGCAACTTTGCAATACTTGGGTATATATTCATCAGGGTTGGTGCAAAGATTGAGATCATTCAAAAAATTAAGGAATCTGCATGTTTGATTCCCTCCAAGATTATCACCAAAAACGTGAATACCTATTAATTCTGCTATAGAACAGATGCAGAGCAAAGATTTTGATCTCTCCACTTTTTTCGCTTCCTATTGCTGCTGTGCCAGTTCAGGCCACCATCTCCTTGGACTCCAACTCAGCCTCCTAATGAGCTGTTCATCTGGAATCTCATCCTGCTTCCTCCAATGTCCAATCCATTTTCTAGAGTAATCTTAAAACTCAAAACTGATTCTGTCACTCTCCAACTTAATACCCTTTAATAGCTTTCTTTGCTTCCAAATAAAATCTAAATCCCTTAATGCCCTGTCAAGACTGTGTGATCTAGCCCTCACCTCCCTCTCTGGCTTTATCTCTCACTCTGCTCTACCTCTGGACCTTCACACATGCTGATCCCACTACCTAGAATTCTCCCTCTTACCCCCCACTTTGCTTGATCTGTCAGGGCTGAGCTTAAATGGTACTTCCTCAGCAAGGCCCTCCCTGACCTTCCAGATGAAGTTCAGGTCTCCTGTAACAAGTTCACACAGCACCCTGACCTTGTCTCATGTAGCTCAGTTATAAAACCTTATTCAATGGAGGGAGTAGGGACCAGCTCTGTCTATTGTACTGTGCTCAGTACAGCCTAGCCCTTGGAAGATATTTAATACACATTGTCTGATTTGCAAGGGCCTTGGGGAAATTAATTTGACCATTAATGTGAGCGCTGCTGTCTTTGATCACTCCAGGAGCCACTGGGATTGAAGACCGGCTGCAGGAAGGAGTTCCAGATACAATTGCTGCTCTGCGGGAGGCTGGTATCCAGATCTGGGTCTTGACTGGAGATAAGCAGGAGACAGCAATCAATATCGCCTATTCCTGCAGACTGTTAGATCAGACTGACACAGTTTACACCATTAATACAGAGAATCAGGTGAGGCCGAACTAGGGACCAGATGTCCAAGTACAGAGCTGCCCCTGGGCCAATAGGGGATAGGCTCATTGGTGGGATTTAGGGACACACAGAAAGCACCCCTTCCCCAAAATATCACTGAACATTAGAGCTGGGAGGGCCCTAGAAGTCATCTAGTCCAATATCCTCCATCTCATCTCATAATGTTTGACTAGTTTCTTTTTATTCTAGCACGATTTAGTAGAAAGTTTTGCCTCTACCAAATTCCACTCTTGGTCCCATCTTCCCATGTCACAGATGAGGAAACTGAAAACCACTAGGACTAATTTATTTGCACAAGGTCCCCCTGCTAGTTTCTGCTACACAGAGCTAAGTCTAGGACTCTGTTCTCCTACTGGCCCAGGGCTTTTTGCATTACTCCTCACTGATGGCTCACAGAACCTCAATTGTCAGTTTCTTACTACTTTGGATTAATGCACCCATTGAAAATGCCCCAATTAAATTGAAATCATTCTGAGTTAAAAATTTCAGCTCCGCTTTGTGTGTCAAATTGGCCTGCCACAGAGTAGAAACCTGAAGATAACAATACCCGAAACCAGTGTGTTTGGATGGGATGGGAGAGAGAAAGAGATATGAAAAATTTTAAAACTACAATTTTCCATCAGAGCAGATTGTAGGTGGCAGAGATCAATATTTGGAGAGAGGGCTGTGTAAAGTCTGAAGAAGCATATTTAAAGTTATAATAAGATTTTGTATTTAAGGGGAAAAACCTACTTTTACAAGGTAAGCTGCAGAAAAGTAAAGTTCCACCATCTTCTTGGCTGATGAGTATGGGAAGTAAGCATTGAGATGTATGCTCCTATGCTAAGCATTCGACAGCTAGTTCAAACCCACCCTACCTCAGAAGACAAGCCTGGTGATCTGCTTCTAAAATCACAGCCTTGAAAACCCTATGGAGCAGTTCTACTCTGCACACGCTGAGTGCCATGAGTCATTGACTCGATGACAACCAACAACATCAAAAGGGAGCAAGGATTAGACTAGAGTAGGATATTAACAAGGAAAGCACTGTATCGGGGGGTTGGGAAGAGTACCTGGAGACCTAGGGCATACCATGGGGAAAGGATAGGGAAGAGGAAGATGGGGAAGGGCAACACAGCAAAGGAGGCAGGGAGGACACTGGAGTATACATTTATCGAGGTTAGTCCCTTTTCTCTTTCACAGTTTTGCCTGAGGCTGATCTGGATCTAGAATAGAAGCTTGGGGAGATTTATGTTTGGTTTTTATTCCATGAAGCAACTACATACACATATTTTTAAAATAAGAAAAAGGCAGTTTATACTATGAACAGTGCCTAAGACCCTTTAGATGAATTGGAAAAATCATCTACTTTCTATTCAGATGCACAGATTATGCTATGATTAGATTAAACCTCAATGAATTTTCAAAATGAAAATAATCTCAGAGAAATCTTTGACTTAGGAAAGAAGCATCTGCAACTTGCTTGAGTGTTCGTTCATTGTAATAGTGTTGACGTCTGCCTGCCCCAAGTGAAATGGAAATGCAGTTTGCAGTGCTCATTTCATTCCAGGTGATTCCTTAAGTAGGACACCTGTAAACTTGTGAGTCAGCCCACCCAGGAGGATGGAATGGCTTCTCTCGGTTCTGTTCAGTGTGATGCCTTCCTGTCAGAAGCTGAAGAGGGTCATTGATTAATTAGCCAAAGCCTCCTAACGAACAGCTCTCTTAAAGCTATCTAGGACCCTCCAAGATGGTGCCTGAACACTAGGCCCTGCCCACACCCCTGGACGCACTAAACTGCTGGATAATTTTTTTTCATCCCCGTGCCTGGGAATAAGCAGTAAGTGCATAAATATGTTAAGCCAGAGAGTGGGGTAATCCATTCTAAATCTTAGGTTTATTTAAACCCCAGTTTAATGTAATTGTGTCTTCAATGGATGTCTTCTCCAAGGGTTTTAGTTTGCCTAATTCACTATTAATTGATTTAGGGCTACTGTCTCTTTGTTATGCCTCTTAAAGCTAAAATCAAGTTATGGGACCTATCTAGACCTCAGAGTTCTCATCCATAAAATGAGGGGATTGCTACCCCATCACTGGAAGCGCTGATCTGTCAAGCAATTTTAGAAGGGACTATAGTAAGGGAGCCCTGGTCGCATAGTGGTTAAGAGCTATGGCTGTTAACCAAAAGGTCAGCAGTTTGAATCCACCAGCTGCTCCTTGGAAATCTAGGGGGCAGTTCTACTCTGTCCTATAGGGTTGCTATGAGTTGGAATCAACTTGACAGCAATGGGTTTCTTGTTTGTTTGTTTTTTGTGGTTTATAGTATTAGAAAGGAAATAATAGTAACAACTATTATTATTGTTATTATTTTTAACAACATATGTTGTTGTTGTTAGTGGCCCCTGACTCATGGTGACCCCATATACCATGGAACAAAATGCTGCCTGGTCCTGCACCATCCCCATGACTGTTAGCAGATTGGACTGTTGTGATTCACAGGATTTTCATCAGCTGATTTTTGGAAGTAGGTCTCCGGCCTTTCTTCCTAGTCTATATTAGTTTGGAAGCTCTGCCGAAACCTGTTCAACATCAGAGCAACACATAAGCCTCCACAGATGGACGGGTGGTGGCTGCCCATGAGGTGCATTAACTGAGAATCAAACCCGGCTCTCCCCTATGAAAGGCAAGAATTCTACCACTGAACCACCACAGCTGCTTCTTAACAACATATATAGAAGGATTAATACAGATACCACACTTCACTGAACTTTATTCTCCTCATCTGTAAAATAGGAATTAAAAATATTTACTTCACAGTCGATTGGGAGGATTAAATAAGATCATAGAAGAAAACTACTTACTTAGCACGGTACCTGTCTTACCCATCTATTGTGCATAACAAATTACCCCAAAACTTGGTAGCTAAAAACAACAGACATTTATTACCCCACAGTTTCTAAGGGTCAGGAGTCCAGGAGCCGCTTAGCTAGATGCCTCTGCTCAAGGTATCTCTTAAGGTTGGAATCAAGCTGTTGCCCAGGGTTTAGGGCTCATGTGAAGGCTCAACTGGTTGAGTCAGTGGGGGATGGGGAGTGCTGCTTCCAGGCTCACCCACATGATTGTTGGTAGGAGGCCTCAGTTCTCTACCATGTGGGCCTCTCCACAGGGTCTGCTTCACAACATGGCAGCTGGCTTCCCCCAGGGTGAGCCACTCAAGAGAGAGTGAGAAAGAGTCCCCAATCAGAAGTCATGGTTTTTTTTAATAATCTAATCCTGGAGGTGACATCCCATAACTTCTGCCAAATTCTCTTCATTAGGAAGCAGTTACTAAGTCCAGCTCACACTCAAGGGAAGGGGGTTACACAAGGGCATGAATACCAGAAGATAAGGATCATTAAGAACCATCTTATAGGTTGCCCACCACAGTACCTGCCATACTAAATGTTAGATGAATGGTAACTATTGAGATTATTACTTAGAAAATTTGAAAATAAGTAAATTCAGAGATTTTTTTAAGCTTACACCTCCAATTACTTGCTGCAGTCATATATTGGAGAAATTTATATCATTTGTGCTGACCTCAACTTCCAGCAAGGACCATCGTGATCTCCTTCCCAGAGAAGCGCCTTCAGTGGTTACCACTCACTCCTGGAACCACTCCCTGTGGCCCCTCCCGGTTCTGTGCACACTCTGCTGCCAGCAACAGTCAGTTCAGCATCCCTTGAAAGAAGACTCAGGAATAATGAATGGCAGTTCTATCCACTCCAAAAGAAATTATTCCACCAATTCCTAGCAACCCCTAGATCAATGTTCTCCAAACCTGTCATTTCAGAACTACCTTCATAAGTTTGTGGAGCCCTGATGGCACAGTGGTTAAGTGCTACAGCTGCTAACCAAAAGGTTAGCAGTTTGAAACCACCAGCCACTCCTTGAAAACCCTATGGGGCAGTTCTGTTCTGTCCTATAGGGTCACTGTGGGTCAGAATCAACTTGACAGCAACAGGTTTGGTTTGTTTTTTTTTTCACAATTTTTGCCAAAATTCACATATGACCTGTATTTTTTATTTAATGGTTTCTTTTAAACTGATTCACTTTTAACATTATTTAATTTATCTTAAAAAGAAATTTTCAGCACTTCAGTAAACAAAAAACCACCATCCCTTGCTATGGATAAAAGAACACTGTAAAATGAAGACTATGTGAACAAAATAATACTATTAACATTGATAATATTGTTGCCTGCCACAACCTTCTCTATCTTGATTAAAAAGTGATGTTCATAGAAGTTAAAAAGGTATTAAGGTAGATTTATAACCAAAATCTGACTTTATTTTTGGTATAATCAAATGTAATGGAAGAGAATTGATAAAAGCAGTAACTTCCTCACTATGTTTCAAGGTTAACACTGGGAAAAATCAGTAAGAAGTTTCTTTCAATCAATAAGACTTCCATATTCATTGTCAGTTCGAACCAATACAACCAACATATTCATATCATGATTCTCAGCACCCTTCATGGAATAACCAGTTGCCATTGCATCGATTCTGAGTCATAGTGACCCCACGTGTGTCAGAGTAGAACTGTGCTCCATAGGGTTTTCAGTGGCTGATTTTTCATAACTAGATCACCAGGCTTTTCTTCCAAGGCACTTCTGGGTGGACTCGAACCTACAAACTTTCAGTTAGCAGCTGAGGGTGTTAACTGCACAACCCAGGGACTCAGTCAATGGCTAGACACACGATCAATGTATTTTTTTTAATTTTATCTATTTTTTTGTTGTTGAGAATATACACAGCAAAACTTACACCAATTCAGTACTTTCTACATGTACCATTTAGTGACATTGATTACATTCTTTGAGTTGTGCTGTCATTCTCACTTTCCTTTTCTGAGGTGTTCTTCCCCCATTCACATAAACTTACTGCCCCCTAAGGTTCCTATCTAAACTTTCAAGTTGCTCTTGCAAATTTGATCCCATACAGATAGTTCTTAAAAGAGCATAATGTCTACTCGACTGGTCTCATCCCTTCGGGAGCAAGGGAGAATGAATAGAATAGGATACAAGGAAAAGATTAGTCCGAAGGACTAATGGACCACAGCTACCAAGGCCTCCACCAGACTGAATCCAGTACAGCTAGATGGTGCCCGGCTACCGCCACTGACTGCTCTGACCAGGATCACAACAGAGGGCTCTGGACAGAGCTGGAGAAGGATGTAGAACAAAATTCTAACTCACAAAAATAAAGACCAGATTTACTGGCCTAAAGGAGACTGGAGAAACCCCAAGAGTATGGCCCCC